CCCCCCCCCCCCCCATCAGAATGATGTTCAAGCACATTGTCGTTGACACTGCAATTTTGCAGACTGGCATGACATTGTCACTTAAAGTGCAGATTTGACGTGAAAAGCCCCACTCGCTGTTTGTGTTTAATATTGCGCTGACAGCTGTATCGTTCTTGCACGCTGTAATCAAATTATGACAGCGGCGGTAAATGTTCCCCCCCGTGACATTTCCTATTATAAAATGCATACGCCGCGGCATCAGACAACGTGTGGGTGGCATCCCTCGGTGGCAAATGGGATTGTAAGTGGCACCGGCTGACATTAATGTGTGTGTGTGTGTGTGCGTTGGGGTGTAATTGCACTTGTGCATTGACAATATGCATAGGTACGTGTCATGTGGCATTATCTTGGTTGTTTTTAAGAGATAAGGCGAGTTTGGTGACACTTTGGGGTTGTCTGGGATCAGTTTGGAGAGGCCTCGTCACACACGTGTGTGTATGTACAGCAGGCCAGAAGGCAGCCAGCTTGTGTCCATCACCCAGGGAGATGAGATTTGTACCCTTTGCTCTGATATCACACCCTCTGTTCTCCTCTCCTTATTTCCTCTACTCACCTTCTCCTCTACACCCTCCACTCCTTCTATTCCTCCTTTCCTCCCCTCTCCTAACTTTTTCTTATTATATTCCTCTCCCCTCATCTCCTCTCCTCATCTCCTCTCTTCCACTCTCGTTTACCCTCTATTCTCCGCTCCTCGTTTCCTCGCCTCTCCTCTCCTCGCCTCTCCTCTCCCATTGAGGCCGGCAAGGGAATATCCAGTGTCCTCTTATTGGATTGGCTGCTCCACGTTGGCGGGCCCTTCCCTTTTCACCGCCCCTCGGCCTGCTGGGTAATGATAATAAAATTGAAATATCCCGGTACTTATCAGTGTATTACCTCGCTATCAACACCTCAGACACACTCCCTACTTTAGAGGTTATACCGGAGAAAGCGTGATCTGATATACAGCGCGGACAGGGAGAGGACACCGGCGGAGAAAGTGCGAAAGACGGAGAGGGAGGAAGAGGAGGAGGAGGAGGAGAGGGAGTAAATTGATAGACAGAGAAAGGGACATGGGGGAGAAAGAAAGAAAGAAAAGACGGGAGCTTTGTCGTGGCTACGTTTTCAAGGTGCTATTTCCAGGATGGATCGCGGTAGGTTTGGAGGAGAGGGTGAAAAGAGGATGAGGAAGAGAGGTGTGTAATGTGACTCTGTGGCATCTGTCCAGACCAGAGGCGTGTTAGCGTAAGACGTCCTCAACACTCTACAGTAGTCTACTGTACATTTGCGGTAATGTAAAACATCTCACATCTCCCCATCTCTCTCTCTCTCTCTCTCTCTCTCTCTGTCTCCGGGCCCTCTCCTCTCTCTTGGCAGTTGGTGTGTGTGTGTGTGTGTGGGAGGTGGGGGAGCGTGCCAAAGCCGAGATCAGGTTTGGAAATTGATTTGAATGAGTGTTGTGGACAGCTGATAGCTATAAAAGATTTTCTCCTTTCATTTCCCAGGGAGTTTCTCCTTTGATGTCGGCTGGTAGTCAACGCAGCTTTGAAGCTCGTCTAGAGCGGGCCGGCCCGCAAACTTGATACCGTGTCTGGCGTGTGTTTATGTGTGCATGCGACTCCGCGTTTGACCTTTTCCAAGGCACATTAGTGTTGCATCTTTCAACGGAAGCGGTGACTTTTATGGCAATGTGGTTGACGTTTAAGTCGTACAAAATGGCATTTAATTTTATCTGATTTAATGAAATGAGGTAAAATTACTCATGATAACCTATTTGCATGTAAGCTGATCTGATTTTTTTAATCCAGAAATGATCACTTATGTGCGACAAGCACATCTTCACCTACTCTAAATCTTTAACATATTGGACGCTTAACATGCCAGCCACCTTCAAATTGCCCTTTGGGGATAAAAATCTCTGAAATGTTATTTTGTCGTTTCATCGGCTGCCTCTCTGCGATCCTTCGACCGGCCAATCGCACGCTCCGATCTAATCCCCGGGGGGAGGGAAGATTCTAGTCTGTTGCCACGGATGCCGCTGGGGAAGGGGGGTCGCGAGGTCAAGTACGGCTAATTTATTCACTCAGTCAGATTTCCTCTGGCTCGTGGATGGCAGATGGAGAGGTCTGATATGATATCACCCATCTGAATCACCCGGGGGAGAAGAGAGGGGGAGGGAGGGAGGGAGGGAGAGACGGAGAGATGAGAGGAGAAGAGATTGGCAGGAGAGATGTGAAAATAAAGGGGGGACAGATAGTAAAAAATTGGGGAATTAAAAAGTGGTTAGATAGAGAGATGGGAGAGAGGGTAGCATAGCCGGCGAGAGTGTGGAGTGTGTTTGCCCTACCGAGTCGGGTGTCGAGCTGAACATCGAGCCGCATAGCCTCATATCAGAGGTGTGTGTGTGTGTGTTTGAAATGTGTGTGCGTGTGTGTCCTTATCTTAAGACAAGTGGTTCTGGTCCAATAAGATCCTGGGAGATGGTAGGACTAAGCGGCTTAGACCAAGATCTGAGATTGGCGGGGGGGGGGAGGAAGGAGAGATAGCGCCAGGGAGATGAGGATGGAGAAAAGTGGAGGAGGACAGAGGAGAAGGACAGATTAGGAGGATGGAGGACAAGAGAGGGGGGGGGGGCATTTGGAAAGAGATGAGACGTGGAGGGCTGTAGAGATCGGGATGGAAAGATGTGATGTGGAAACAGTTTGGAGAAGTTTTTATAAAGAGCAGGAGGAAAAGGGGAGGGCGAAGCGGGAGAAGTTTTGGTTTGAAATAGTTCTTGGCTTCTTGTCAAAGGGCAGGGATTTACAGGATTTCATCAACAGTGTCAACTTGAGGACACTTTTTCCCAAGAGGTTGTGAATTTGTGGCTACGACAACAGTGTCCGCTTAAGAACACTCTGTCCCCAAAGGTTTTGACTTCAAGCCTCGGCTTTCAGACGCTCCTTTATTAAAAAATGTTCCACTCAGCTCCCAGCCTTTCCTCTACATACAGATTGAGGTCAAGGCATTGATCTTTGTCTGTTGAAAAAGCAGCGCGCCACTTGTCTCTGAAAGTACCTATCATTAAGAAAAGATGAGGAGGTCTGAGATAAATGTGAAACAGTGCGCAGAGCGATTCGACTCTTTATTATGGATGTTAAAGAGCTGATTTAAAGCACTTTTATCGGCAGAGATAATATCTTTTCACTTCTTTTCAAAACAGCAGAGACCTCAAGGGATGGCTGAAGGGAAAGTGTATCAGAGGGCAGGTCTTGTCTAACCACAAATCATTTAAAAAAATGAAGGTGTAATTATCTTTACCCATCTCTTTTCGGGTATTAGGGGAGAGCTCAGTTGAGAGGTCGCATTGTATAGTTTGGTTAACTTGGCAGGTAAGACAGCTGTTCTTGTGACTAACATCACAACACCTTGTTTGGAGCAACAAGATCACATTTTTTGAGGAACATTTTTATTTAACCTAATGTTTGTGTTTTGTATCTCCTCAGTTTGGGGACCACATGAAGATGAGGAACCAGATCTGACGACCTACGGATGTCCACCCCTTCTCCACGACCGTTCGGCTGAGGCAACACATCCAACAGACTCTCCAAGAGGGAGGCTTTTACTGCTTTTTAACTAGGAGGAACAACTTAACCTTGACCATTTATTGTATTTATCATCAGGACTGAAGTCGTCCAAACTGTCAAGTCTGTGAAGGACTGAATATACCCAACAGCACTTACCTGGCCCGGAGTGATCTGGACTGAACTGAGCTCAAGTGAATTTGGCTGGAGACAGATTAACTCACTTTAACGCCACTAAAGAGAAATGAACTGAATTCAAACTAGCCTGACGTTGGCTGATTTCTTCAAGAATACTCTCCTTTGTCACAAACTGCTCTTTTCAGAGCCCCTTCCTTCTTAAAGCCAAATCCCTCAAGTCTCCAACCCAGATTCACGCACTTCCTGAGACCCCTTTCAAGGGCCTTGGACATTGTCTCAAATTTGATCGAGGAGGAATCATCTCCTCCTCTCCCCTAAAATCCTAACGAGCTCTTTCTTCCGCCCAGACATGGATCTCCACAGGGCAGCCTTCAAGATGGAGAGCTCCTCCTACCTGCCCAATCCCTTAGCCTCCCCGGCCCTCATGGTCTTGGCCTCCACTGCTGAAGCCTCTCGTGACGCCTCAATTCCCTGCCAGCAGCCACGTCCATTTGGCGTCCCCGTGTCCGTTGAGAAAGACGTACATTTGCCATTTAACAACGGTTCTTACACTTTTGCATCAATGTACCACCGCCAAGGCGGAGTACCACCAGGATTCCCCAACAGGGACTTTCCTCCGTCCCTCCTCCACCTCCATCATCAGTTTGCCCCACCTAACCTGGACTGCTCGCCGATCAGCATGCTGAATCACAGCGGCGTCGGCGCCTTCAGGCCTTTTGCCTCACCTCCGGACGATCGGGACGGAGTGCCATGCGGGTATCAGTCTGCTTTCACCCCGGCCAAGCGCCTCAAAGGCTGCCTGGATGCAGATGCCTCACCCCACCTGCGGTACTCCGATGCGGAGGGGAAAGAGTATGACTTTGGCGGTTCTCAGATCCCTCCTGGAAGTTCGCCTAGCAGCGCCTTGAAAGCAGTGGAGGACAGCGGGAAAAAGATCTTCGCGGTGTCAGGCCTCCTGTCGGATCGAGAGACTTCCTCCAGCCCAGAAGACCGCATTGAGCGCTGTAAGTAACTGTTCATTGCAGTTCTACATTGTAAAGAAGGAAGCTAGAACTGTGCATACAGATGGAATAACATGGTAACGATAGGAATAACATGGTAACAAAAGACCAGAGGGCACAAGGGGCCACTGAATGATTTGAAGATTTGAATCACATGGATTGGTCTTTGGAATCCCCAGATCTTAACCTGATGAAACACTTATGGGATATCTTTTAAACGAATGTGGTTCAATTTAGAGAATCTATGAAGTGATTAATAAGACACTTCATGTGAGGTTTTTCTTACATACATATTTGTCACCCATCAGTATGGAGGAATAGATCATAAGGCATACGAAGACTAATTATAGGAATGTATTGCAAAATATGCTATGTTCTCACAACACTCAAACTACATAGACTTACACATTCTTGTTGTGAAAGTCTCATGCAGTGAAAACACAAATCAGCCCCATTATCTTCTTGCAATGATACAAAATGATATGTTGTACAATATTTCGGTATGGTAAAATGAAGGGTCTGGCCACATCACTTTTCCATTACGCATTTTCTTTAAGTTTACTGGAAGTGATTGCACTGATGTCTAATACACATTGTCACACTTCCAATTCTCATCCAACTTTTTTGATCAATACTGCTCAAACCACAATAATCTTGGATGATTCTACAGTCAATTGTAGAAATAAAACCTGCCCAAACCTACACAGCAAGACACACAGCCAACTCTAATTCTGATCAAATTAAAACCAAAGTACAACTCTCTGTAATTTGCAAAAGAATGCAAATTTTGACACACTAGCATAACACACGCCAGTAAACAATCCCATCTATGTTCTCCTGTCATCATCTCTCCTGGCTCTCCCTAGCCTTGTTTCACAAGCCCACAAGCTCCACTGGTCACATTAGCATTCACCGGTGGAGGGATGCCATTTGGCCCTCATGCACCAGGAATCTGATTAGTGTTTGTGTGTGTGTGTGTTGGTGTGTCGGTGTATGTGTGTCGGTGTGTGTCAGTGTGTATGAGTGACTGGTTCAGAGACCGGCCATGCTCTTTGCCATCAGCATTCATCATAGCTCAACGCTGGCAGCCCTGTTGCCAAAAGATTTACCCACATACCCAAAACCTTGGCAGGCCATGTGTGTGTGTGTGTGTGTGTGTGTGTTTGTGTTTGTCTGTGTGTGTAATAAATGGGAGGTGGGAGAGGGGTTGAATGAGCTCCAAGCACAAACACACAAACACTCTTCCAGACGCACAAACAGCTCTCAGCATGAGCACCGACATCTCCTACACATGTCAACAAGCTGCATCGGATCTCAGTAACAAATTAGGAGAGAGAGAGGCAGAGACCGACAGAGATGTGCCTTTAGTGTATAATTTAAGTAAAAGAGACGGCCTTCCTTTCTGTCTGTCCTTTTTTGAATTCACTTCATCTCCCCTTTGACTGTCTTTGCTTCTATACTCCTGGTTTCATTCATTCTCCACCTCTAGTGGAAGGAGAGAGTGTGTGTGTGTGTGTGTGTGTGTGTGTTTGGGTTATGTATCCTTGATGGAACACATGAGAGACAGAGGTGGCGGCCTGAGACTGATCCGATAAAAAAGACCACCGCAGGAGACACAGAGAGGGTGAGAAAGACAGGGATGAAGGAAGGAAAGGAGGGAAGGGGAACATTTGGGGAAATGACACCCGGTGGGCTGGCAAGGGGAGGAATGAGAAGGAGGAAGATATCAAAGAAGCACATGAAGTGAGAAGAGGGGAAAGGGGACATGAACAAAGAGAGGGGAGGGAGAAAGAAATGACAACTCCGCTATGGAATTGGTTCTCATTGTTGTGTCGTTAGATTGACGATTTTTTTTCATTCGAAATAGACATTTTCCCCGTTTGCTGCAGCATTCAGCGGAAGCGACCGGAGCTCAAGAGCCTTGTGGTCATTGCCATGTTGTCACTCCAGATTTGACCGAGGCCAGAAATAGAATAGGAGATGGGTACGTGGGCCTCCTGTGCTGTCTTTTGGAACGGCTGCATCGGTATCTAATCGGGTTAAATCTTGGCACAAGTAGCCTCCACCTCCACCATAGGCTTCTAATGCAATTGGATGTGCGGAGGCACTGCTTGCAGCAAAGAATTATGGGTTCTCCTTCACTGGTTTTGGCTATCCAGCGGAGGCGCAAAGAACAAACAACACTTTGGTACAATCCCATGAGGACGGCTCTCTCGCTGCTTCACAAACACACACACACACACACTCGCACACATTAGCTAACTAGCAGTCTCCGCGCTGCTTCACACATGCCTCTCAGAAATCTCACAGTGAAAAGAGGTTTGCAATGCTTGGGATCATACAGTGTCACATAGAGATTCTGGTTCAGTGCAAAATATAAATATAAATATAAATGGCAGGTGTTTCATAGGTTTAATTCTCAATATCTCAAGTATATGTTAAGTTTGCTGAGTCTCACAAGGGTGCGTCCAGCTCAAGCGTGACTGAAGTCGATTTAAGTCTGGACTTTGAATCCATTTGTGCCATTAAATCCGTATCTTAATGTGTTTATGCAATTTATAGCTTTCATTAAGGTGCTGATATCTCAGGGCCATTTGATATCTACCAAATGAATGACATGTGGCTCTGATTATAGTCAAACATGCGTTCCCCATGCGCTCTCGATCACCACCTCTCATTTTGTACAAGTATGTTAGTGACTGGGACTCATTAGTTGCTGTGCACCGACTGCAGGTACATTGTAACAGTTCTTTGAAGTCGTCTCCAATCACTCCTCGGGTTCCTTAACTCGAGGTCCTCTCACAAGCATTTTGCTGGGGCTATATGATCGTCTTCATCAGCTGATGGAGTTTGCTCAGTCATCGTGAAGAAAGCGTAGTCGTCTTTATTTGACTTCTGGAGCAGTTTTGAATGACTAGAAAACACTACCCAGTAGTAAAAAGCGCTGCAGTTATTAAACGAGTCGTAAATCCCGGGAACGAGTCAGTATTTTTTGCACTTTGGGTTACCTCGTCTCAAAGTCAAATGTTTTTTGGTTGGATGCCTGATATATGGTCTGTGGTTAATGGAAGCTTAATAACACATTTTAAACTTTTGTTCTACGACGTAGAAGATGTCAGTAGATACCTCTCTCTGGAGTTTTGAAGCTTTTACGTGTCTTAAAAAAGGCGGTTGCTAACAAAAGGCTAAATGAGACGACTAAATGTCATCACACCGACTAGTCCGCCGTGAACTTAGTGGTGGTGGCGTGTAGTTTGTTTATAGCCTGAAATTAGCTTTTTACTAATGATTGCATTCACGCTACAAAAAACCATAAAAGTGGTGTTTGTGAAGATGAACAAAACCTGTAAGTATCATAAACTTATCTCAGCTATGTTTCTTCAATAATCCAAAATCCAACTGGAAAGAAAACACTAGCTTTTTGTTTAGGGAACCAGTTTGATGCATCCTGCATGTCCACTCTCTAGTTTGTGAGTATATCAGGTCCTTAACACTTAACTTACAACTCCATTTCATGCAGAAAAAAACAAACAAACATGTTTAGTTGAAGAAAACAAACTGCATGTTCCTTTTGGTGACCAAGGTATCTTAAACGTGAAGCAGACTCTTAACATCTGCTCTTCCACCTGTCTTGCATTCATCCATTTCCAAGTTGAATATGTTTTACTTTCGATCCCATTCCGGTCCAATCATCCGTCGTGCCAGTTAATCCCAGGTGCGAAGGTGAATCCTCTCTTCTTCGCCTCTCATGTTGAAAAAAAACGAAAAAAAAAAAACACGATTAACGCTACTTGGAAAAAACCTCCCCGCGTGCAATTCCGTCGAGCCTGCTGCACGCCGCTCCTAGCGACGGCGGCCTACTCCGCGTTAAGCCATCACACAAATCCCCCCACTGCACCAGCAGGCACGTCGGCTGTTAGCTAAACCCGCTAACCTGTCAGCCGCTAAACCTGCACATAAAGGCCCCATCATGCCTTAAGAGGACAATGCATGTCATATTATTGTGAAGGCCTTCAGCGTTTACTGTATTCACATGGTGAGGGTTTTAGCACAGGAATGAAGCAGAGCAGGGTTTTATGTGTGTGTGTGTGTGTGTGTGCATACAGTAGAAGAGAGAATGGAATTATTGGATGTGTGATTGGAATTAATGGGAATGTTGACAAATGACACAACCCCCCCCCCCCTTTCGCAGTGCACTTGCTTGTTTGCAGAGGGGATTTGACGTTTTTGCACGACGTGTCAATGTGAAGCCGTGTGTGTTTGTGTCTCAGCATCCAGCACGTTCCATCATCTTTGTTTTCCTCTGCCTCGTACTTATCTTTTGTTCTCTCCGTCATCTTTTCCTTCACGTCCTTCACTTCCTTCCCCTTCTGTGTGTGTGTGTGTGTGTGTGTGTGTGTGTGTGTGCATCTCCCCACATGAGTGTGTGACAGCTGTAGTTTGTTTACGTTCTCTCCGCATTTACAAGGCCGAGAGATTTACGCTGAACCTGACCCCCGAATGTCTGTAACCCAGCTTCCTCGTCCCTCTTCTTTTTTCATTCTGGCTTTTCTGGCTTTTCTCATCACTCATGGACGTTTTCCCACGCACGCAATTGAGATAGAAAAAACTGGACAGGCATACGACTGAAAAGAAAGAAAAAAAGGAAAGGTTGCAGGGTAGGAAGGAATGAAGGAAACAGGGAGGATGGAGAGATGTTGAGCTGAAATGCAGATCCCATCTGCCTGACTGACATAAGGAATTCTTAAGACAGTGCACCATAGACAGGTAGATATTGTTGAATTTGTTTATTGTTCACATTTATTAAGTCAAATCATTTTAACGTACTGAAACTACACCTATGTTCTTGTATTCCCATCAATAGTTTTAACATTCAACGGAGCGCATCACACACAGCTGTGAAAACACACAGCGAGAGGCCTCCTCTTCCTCCTCCTCTTTGCCCTTTCTTCTGTTCTTTGTTTGTCGGCAACTCTTCCGCAGGGTAAAAATGTAATTTTCTG